ATTTATATTCGATGCTTCCGCATCCTGAATTTTCCTTCGTTGATATCTATAGAGAAGGAAATGTTTGGAAAATAATTGCATCTTCATAATATTCAAAATAACTGAAAAAGTTCTGCACCTACTTAACGGGGTTAAATTTCAAAAAAACTGAAGACAGTTCAATCAGAAAAAACTTCTTGATAATATTGTTTACTCAAACGATAACATCACATTCATAGTAGTTATGGAAAAACAGATAAATAATGCGCCGTTAACGGTGTTCGAAAAATCCAAATATAAATAATTTGCATAAATAAATAGTTTAGTAGTGAAATTTACAGAGATAAATTAAAAGGATTTATGTTGACATAGAATATATGGAGTGTGGTTAGTACTTTAATCTAATACGCACGTTTCGTCCTCTTTGGGACTCGTAAGCTGGATATACAGGACTTTCAGAGCTAATATCAACTCCGAGATTCGAACTCGGACGACGCTCATTTGCAAGACAAGCAAGCTTCTGACAGCCTTCTTTCAAATTTCTGCTGATCCTCTGTTCACTCTGATAAATTCCATATAGGTTGCAAGTGGATGTGTTCCAATGACCTTCTGAAATTACTGTTTAATTCATTCGTAACGATTCACTTCACATAAAACAATATTACGGACACATCAGTAATTATGAATTTTTCCTTGTTGTTATACAACCTTTCGCTTTTTTATATCGGTAAAGGATGGATACAAATTGTTTGACAGATAATAACGTTTGAAGGATTGAAACAACTCTTCAATACTATCTCTATGAATACATGTTTCTGGTTAGCGTTTTTTTTAACGAGTTAGTTTTCTGCGGAATGGGGTCACCAACCCCAAGCCCAACCCTCTTCCTTTATCCGGGCTTGGGATCGGCAGTAACCCCAGAGTGGCTACAAGCGCAGTTATCTCTGAATAAATACTATATTACAATATTGATGATTATTTATGACGGTTTATACATAAGAATAGCTTTACTATTTTTTATTTGGTATCATTTCATTTTGGTTTTTTGTCTGATTGTTTGTTACATGTTTTTAAAGAATTTCGATCCCTATCTTTATAATGCACCAATAGTTTATGACCAAAGACTCAGTGTAATACATTGTGTCGTTATTGTTGTAGTCATTAGCGCTACTGGTTAATTCTGTGATATTTGAATGATAAAATAAATCCATATGGTTATGTTCTGGTGAGAAATTATTGATTTCATAGTGTTTTGCTTTATCTATGCGTAAATGAATTGAAAAGACTGTTTTTAATTATAATTTGTTAAACACTGTAAATTTACTGACCTTTCATTAAACTCAAATAACAGAACCATACGATTCAATTTAACACATTTACAACATTAGGTATACTCTCAAATGTATAGGCCTTGTTCTTCATTGTAAAGGGATTTTATTGCTGACATATAAATAATAAAGTTATTCCCCTCGTCAACTTGGAGATTTACAAAAACAGTTTAGTTATTGGTTCGTGATTTGTTGTTTGAATGAGAAACACAGCTGTGTTTTATATGACCAAATGACCCGACAGGCACTCTTAAATCAAACTTGCTGCATGTGCTAATACCTGCCCTAGCTTTTGGACAAACTAGTTAACTTTTTACTCCCCTGATTCATCAATAACACGTCTTAAGACCTTGTCAATCACTCACTGATAATCTTGGTTGTTTTAACTTGAGTGCGTATGCGTATTGCCTACTTCGACTATCACATGTCTAGCTTATTTTTGTCTGATTATAAATACGTGGTGACGCCTCACCACATTGAGTTGGCGCCCTCGCCTTCTACATTTCGCCTGGCTTCTCCGCTTTTTATCCTCAAGTCTGCCTGAACGATTGTATGGAATTAACTTATGCAATTGAATTTGTATTTCGCACAAACGGAGTTCGCCTAAGAATAATATACGGAAACCAGATGAATGATTTATCTCAAAGCATATTCACTATGTTGTCCGAATTTGAGTCAGATTCCCGGCCACTAAAACAAAATCACGAACTGACATATTGAGCCAATCAGAAGTGACCTGACGAGAGGGACATTGGATGACCTTCCGAAAATGTTCTGAGTTCGATAGACCTCCTCTGATCTCTATCGTTTCGTTCAAACAGTTTGTCATTTGGGTGTTAGAACCTATCACATTCAGATCTCGACGGCGCGCATCGTAACTAGAGAACCATTGTAATTCTAGTAAGACAACAGAAAATGACGTAAGAAGACAGTGTTCGATGTGACATACAAAGACCAGTGATAAATCTGCTGGCTGAATTGGGGTTGAGTAGTGACGATGAGTCCCGAAGTGCGACAAGTCAGTTATGCTAATGCCCCCTATCTTTCAACATTTTTCCAATAGGTATCAGGTTACGGCGACAACTGTCTGAGTATAGCCAAAACTAACTCAAAGTTACGTTTCCTATTTTAAACAAATGATAGTTTACAGCTGGTAGTTCAAATCCGGACAGAATCTAGATGTGGTTTATCCTTAAATCGATTTTTCGTCATCTATTGTGTGATCAATAGTCTGCTAAAAAATTAATCCTAGTTTATTTTGGTTTATTGAAGGGTGTGTAAATCGTTGAGACTGCCTTTTATATTAAAATAGTATATACCACATTAGTATATCCTAAAATAAATTTGATTAAACAAAGCATTTGTTACGCAATTTTTCGGATAGATGACCACTGCTTCCATAAACTATTTCAGGCAAAAGTTCACTAATTAGACCTATTCTGACCAAGTGATTCTGGTAATCAATCTCAAGAATTTTGGTCTAGTTGAATTTAAACATCTCAGATATATCGTCTAATATTAATCCTGAAAAGTTCGAACGTATTAATCATTGGTGAATTTTATTCATTATTTTCTTTAAACTGTCTCTCCACGGTACGTCATAACTACAGGTATGACGATAAACTTAAAAAACTTTGTTTCATTTCTCCTTGTCATAATATTGTAACTTGAAAAAGAGTACAAAACAGAAATTCAGGCATAGCAGCACAATCACGGTGTTAAACCTGAAAAACTAGTTGAACTGATAAACATGGTGGACAACCAAATAGCTTGTGGGCTTTTGAAATATACATTATGTAGAAAAGGTTGAAGTCAAATCACTCAACTAGTAATTATCTGTAAGAGATAATTAATCACCACTCAAAATCAGAGGTCACAAAATAGCCTATGGGGAAGCGATTTTCATTGTCATGTTATTTACAGACACATCGGCTTGTATATAGTAGAAAATTAGGTAGAAATTTAGCCTTCAAGGAATAGGCAAGCATATATCAATCAAATTCGATGACTTTTATCTAATGGATACTGGTAAGAGACTTAATGTTTTCGGAATTATTTTGTACTACTGAAAAACATGGAGAATCTTACATACTTATTCTATATAGACCACTTTCATAATTGGAATACATTAAACTATCACCTTTCTAACCGTAACTGAATTTGTTCAAATAACTTAATGATCGTACTCTTTCATTTCATGAATACTTGGTAAAATAACACTGGACTGAAGCATGTTGATTATTTATTTTTAGATTCTGATCACCTCTTATTTGGTTAAACATTTGCCTTAAGTGTGATAGAAAGAACAAAGTCGATTATTTCAAGGATGCAGTTTTAAGTATCTTTTGTGAGCAAACATAATTTTCCATTCCTCAGAGGCGTTTATTCATTCATTTACTTGTTTTCTGCATTGATAATTCCACATCTGCACAAATCCAACATAAAAACAATCCTAGGATCATTAATCAATCATCATTGTTAGACCACCATTAGAAACCTGGAAGCACTGGACGGCCGTTTCGTCCTAGTATGGGACTCCTCAGCAGTGCGCATCCACGACTCCTGCTCCTCGCAGGATTCGAACCCGGGACCTTTGGCATTGTAGGCGAACGCCTTACCATCGGACCACTGGGCCGGCATCCAACGGTGTTAATGTCTAACTCTGATTGATCTAGGGATTTTGCGCGACCTCACCCATTTGTCTTTGGTAGTTACTGCCTACACCCGACAGGGTTGAACTCCACTGGTCACGTCTTCTCAACTAGAACTCCGAGAATTTCCTCACGAAGCTAGTCACCAGTGGAGTTCAACCCTGTCGGGTGTAGGCAGTAACTACCAAAGACAAATGGGTGAGGTCGCGCAAAATCCCTAGATCAATCAGAGTTAGACATTAACACCGTTGGATGCCGGCCCAGTGGTCCGATGGTAAGGCGTTCGCCTACAATGCCAAAGGTCCCGGGTTCGAATCCTGCGAGGAGCAGGAGTCGTGGATGCGCACTGCTGAGGAGTCCCATACTAGGACGAAACGGCCGTCCAGTGCTTCCAGGTTTCTAATGGTGGTCTAACAATGATGATTGATTAATGATTTCAAATGTGTAAAAACGCAAACCTCCAAAACTGTGCCCCAATATAATCCTAGGATCGTTTTCTAGCCAAACGCCTATCGTATTAAAGTGTTGATTCGTATTGAAATCTTAGCACTGATTGGTCTAATTTGTGCCGTTAGTCTCTGGTCCCATCTTTAGGTAATACTTAAAACGAAAGTTGGTCCACAAATCTTGAGTGGGAAAGTTATGTGGATCTACTAGTTAGTATTTTTACAGACCAGACGGAAAGTCAATGCTGTGTAGTCTTTGCAGTTTATACTGCTATGCCTTCCAACACGTTTAATTCTTCACAATCCCAATTTAGGCTAAACCACTTAACCTATTCAGTAATAAGTTCTAAACTTGATGATATGACAAGTCTCATCCGTGTGACGAAAATCAGCAAACACAAAACATTTGTCCAAATTCCAGTATGTGAACTGACTTAGGAATAGAATTAGGAGACGAGTAACTTCAATTTGGCGAAAATGATGGCCATAACACTTACTCATCCGATTCATTGTGTGACCAATCAAAGTAAAGCTGTTTTATTATTGGATGGATTGTGAACATCCAGTAAATACACTCAAGGTCACATTAACGAAGGGCACTAACTGTCCTAGATTGGCAGACAGGTTGTGCCATCATGAGATGCAAGCATTTTGATGCCGATAAAAGTTCATCGCAATGTTAGGCGCTCTGTATAATTCTGTTTTATAAACCCGACACAACACTTGGTGGATATTTAAATATTTAAGTAGTGGAATTCAAACCTTTGCATAAGTATTAGCAAACTTTTTTGTTTTCAGAATATTCAACTCTTCGGATTAGCATAAGTAAGTTACTGTTTACATAGTTTTTTTTATCTACAATCATGAATGTTATTAGTTTGAATTCTTTTTAATCTTACTATTATCACTACTTCATCGTTAGTAATCTTGTTATTACTGTTCAATCATTGTTGTTTAGTTGCGTATACATCATCGCAAGGAAACTCCGTAAAATATTTAAGAATAAATAGAATGTAGATTGACTTTATCAGTTCTGATCTGTTCAAACCAATTTTTGCTTGATCAAAATACCTTGAAAATCAACTGCACCTTTTATCTAAATTTATCACATCGATTTGAAGCGGTTTAAACTATTTCTAAGTACTGAAGTCGTTATTGAAATTATATCCCTTTAAACTTTGAGGAAATCTTAATGTAGAGCGTGAAGTTATCATTCGGACTTCTTATATAGAAAATAGATCTGTGGATCACTTGTAGTTGATCAGAAATATCTACCGATTTTTCAACTTGTCAATATAAACGGAAATGATGAAATGGCGGTAGCTGTTTGGCGTTTTTGGGATTCTATTATATTTAGCCTTACGAAAAAGGTGTAAACAATCGTCCATGTAATCAAGTTGTTTTATTCAGATGACTTCCTGAAACTGATGAGAGTCTGACAGTGAATGGGATTATTAAGTATCTAAACGGTTTGAATCAGTAACGTTAGCCAACCAGATTTAATCCATTAGCCGTGTACATGTTACACGGTTTAAATGACTAGCGGTCGCTTTGTTGATATTGGGAAAATTTATTTTACAGTGGTTCATTTTGTATACTTATAAATGACCTTTTTTTATAAGGACTTGTTCATACTCTGGACACATACTTTGGATAAATAACATTGAGAAATATTTATTGAAATTATATAATATTACTGCGATCCATGTAGTCAAACTTTACTTGTGCGGATCGTAGATATTCACATTTTAGGAGTCATGGCTGATTATAATCAGTTCCATATAAACATCTGTAAATTTTTTAACACAAATATACAAATTTCTGTAGTGTAAGTATCATCTTCATTTCATGGAACTCTATCCTTCTAAAGCATCGAATGAGGATCGCCACAGATGATCTTACCTTAATTAGCTAGCTGCTGTAACTTTCAGAAGCAATATTCGTCTAGAGAGTTTTAGTTTATTTTAACGTAAAATATGAATTTCCCTAGAACAGTGAAATGGGTTAACTTTCAGTTACTAACGTAGAGCGTAGAATAAATATGCGTTAAACTAAGCTGCTACAACACAATCTTAGTGTTGAAAACACTAGAATTCAAGTACATCCAACTCAAAAGTCCCAAACAGCCACATAATGAGTAAACCATGAATCAGCTGTTACAAGCAATTTGTGCCAAAAATCTATCGACTAACGAAATCGCTTTATGCATTAATGAATTTATCTTCTGTCTTTTTAATAAAAAATGTTTCCCTGAAATCCTACAATTTTTGATGATCTGTTTGAACTTATAATTGTGGAAGTTTAAGAAATTTATCTTGGTAGTCTTTACAAAATGATCCGTCAGTTGAATTTATTCAATGACTGTGGGTTTTATGAATCGAAAATCTTCATTTAATATTTCTTTTTCACCTCCAAATTTTGGTCGGAAAATGATTAAGTTTTGAAGACAGCTAATTTTTGTTTGAAATGAGACAATAACTCCATCTTATGAGTAAAAGTACCATAATTATCAAGTCGGTTAATCATATTCGATAAAGGACTCAGTATTAGCAACGGTTGACCCAAGTTGCCGTACTACATAAGAACGCGGAAATAAATTTGGGAAGGTGAATCGTAAAAGAGTTGAAATAATATAGCAGAAATGATGAGAAACGCTGAAAATTGCATATTTGATTCAGGAAAACAAATATGTATGTGGGAAAAGGGGCACTCAAGACTACAGTGAAGTAGAAAGTTTAGGGAGGGAGAGAAATACCTATCACAAACAGGCTTTCGTTGTCGCTGAACGCCACCAAAAGATTGCATTACCAAATAAAGCTTTCGTCCGCCTGTTTTAATTCTTCAGCTGAACTATACGTTCTGTAGTGTGGACTGATAAGTCGAGTACACATGGCCTGTCCCAGCCTCTGGACAAATCAATTAATGCATTCTTCTGGAGTTATTGTTCACGTCTTTCGACCTTGTCGATTATTCGCTTATAATCTTGGTTGTTTCTACTTGAGTACGTATGCGCATTGCCTACTTCGACTATCACATGTCTAGCTTATTTTTGTCTGATTATATGTACGTGGTGACGCCTCATCACATTGAGTTGGCTCACTTGCCTTCTCCATTTCACTTCGCTTCTCTCTTATTATTCGCTTCATTGTCTTTCTGTCTGTCTGCCTACGCGAATGTTTGTAATCCATCCAAAATAAACCATATTGGGCTTTTAATTACAACCGTCTCATAAACGGAGTTAGCCGAAATTTAAAATACGGGAATCAAAGGGGAGATTTATCTCATAAGATCTTCAATCGTTTGTCCACATTGGAGTCAGATACAGGGTTACTAAACTTCCTAAGCAATAAAGAATAAATTTTTTTGCACGCTGATATGATGTGATTCTACGTAGCTCTTGATCTTTGCAATATACTATATTTTTGCACTTAGAGAGCATTTACTAGAAAAGTTACTAGGATAGAAAGATTCTTTGTCTTTATTTATCAGATTTTATACACTGGTAATTAGGTTCTGGTAAAAGCCGTAAAAGTTCAACTGTTTGTTGATAAGAAATAGAAAAATTGGGTAAGTAATGGTTTGTTGCGCTTATGCATCCGTGATATTTTGTGAAAATGTCATCGATAATTTCAGATGTTGATAATGCTTTCTCCTATATTTATTTCTGTCACTATCGGGCACATGTTGATTCCTGAACCTGAATTTTAGATGTGCAAATGTTAATTTCCAAAAGTTTCACTATCTTCGGGCTTTTCCTATAATGGTAAAACACTTAAGAAATACGGTTTTTTATCTATGGTTTTCTGCTAAGGGAACTTTGAAGTGCATTGTGCATGCATCTTGTATGGAAATCTGGTTTCGTATTATATATTTAGCAATAATCGAGTAAAAAGCCTAAACCATAGTTATATTTATCGTTGCTAGAATATGACATACCTCTAGTAATGACATTTTTTATGCTCAATGCTTTAGATAGTTGTCAACTTAGATCTATTTGTCTCGTAATTGGATTAATTAGTAGCAAATTAACGTACATTAGTCGATAACCAGTAAGTCAGTCACTGAAGTGAATGTAAGTAATTGATAGTGACGCAAATTATGTAAGTTCTCTTACGGTTTGAATACAAATTAGCACATAATTCCTTCAATATGTAGCAGATTTTAGGGATTTCACTAGAATGGTTTAATGTTTTATTTAGATTTGTTTGGATACAGCTGTATACGTTTGGAAGCGATATTTCTCAAAAGCCGTGCTTCTTTTCTTTTGTTTAAAAAAATGCCTCAAGTTTGCCAACCTAATCAGTCTTTACGTGAAGTCACTGTTTGGTTATTAATTAATTAAACAAGAGTCCTTAAGGTTTGGAGTTAATGTTTGACGATATTATGTAAAAAAGCTCAAAACAGATGGCAGTACTGCAGGTAGACTCGGCTTTTGTCTACCTTTAAAATCTCATCTGTTTTAATTATAGTGTTTACTTCAGGATGCTTTTTCCATTCTGGATTAGTAGTGTTTTTGGCAAGAACGCGAGATTCAAACGATCCTCCGTGTCAGTACCGAATGACCATCGAGAGTTTACCACGACTGAATATCTGGTCCATGATAATCACATACTATTTGAAATGCTAATCAGCTCGTTAGAAATGTGTAAGTTCTTGAGTTTAATGAACCACAAGAATGACCTCTTAGAAATGAGAATACGTGAATGAAACAGTAGTCTATTATTTTCTAACCTCAGGGATTCTTTAACTGATACTAACTTGTACAAATCCTTGTTCATTGGTTGTTGTTATTTTTGGACAGTGTAATGAGAAGAAAAAGACTGTCAGAACTGTGACATATTAGTGCAATACGTTTCGAACAATATGGTCACACGTATACTTGTTAGAGACATTGATTTATAAAAAATGAAAGGTCTACTAGACAAATGAAGTGTAAGGTTTATAGGGAAAAACAATGTGAAAAAAAACTATTTGAAATTCACCACTTTGGTTATTAATACAATATTTCTAAGGTAGGATTAATGTGAGAACACTGTTTCTGAATACATAAAGTAGGTGGAAGCTTTCGCATGGTCACGGTTTCAATAAACTTTAGTATATGCCTTCTAAAACTTATACAACAACATAAAAGCCGAGTTAAGATCCATCTAATGACCTGTTTCAACTGTGTTTGTCAATAGAGGACGATGGATGTTTATCTTCCATTCGTATTGGATCGTTTTATTGTATTTGTTTTCGCAATCATTTAGGTACATAATTGTGATAATCTCCTCATTACACCAGATTTATCAAACGGGCTTTTAATTTATTGTTATATTTTTATGATGGTGAATATTTGCAGCTTAGTCTGTATTTCTTCGTAATTGCCCTCATCGAGCTTGAGTTTTATTGGCAGAGCTATTGCCGTGTTAGCTTTTTGCGGTGTTTTCAGAGTAGTTTTATATGTGAACTGAATGAACTATGAAACTACAAGCACATTTACGTTTGGGTAATTTTAAAACTGTATGTAGTTTAGAGTGATGCTAGTGACTCGTTACTAATTAACAACGCTGTCTTCATGTGTTCACCCTGTTAGTCGATTTTTTAATTCTTTAAATGTAGTTCCACTTAAGTACTCAATGCAAACCACCCAGACGAAATCATCAATCACGATTCATTTTATATTCACTCTTAGGGAAATACTGTTTTATACTAGATGATGAAATGTACAGTTTGAAATAATGACTACCATCTCTATGGCGAATGTCTCAGTTCCACACTGACTGTCCCTATGGTATATTTACTTATCTAATCAGCGTTTTGAATATATCAACAACATATGATAC